AAACTGAACGCATAGAAATTTTAATTATGGTCGGTTATGGGGATCGCAAACGAACACAATTAGAAGTATGTGAAATTTTCAATGAGCGTTATCCACATCGAGAACCAATCACTCAATCAGTAGTTAGCAAAACTTCGAAACGTTTTAGGGAAACTGGTAACGTTAAAGATCTGCCAAAGACTGGTCCGCAGAGATCTGCAACAGATGAAGATAAAAAGATCGATATTCTCATAGAAATCGAAGAAAATCCAAACATTTCAACTCGTCAGTTATGTTTAAACCATGCTCTAAGTAAAGGTTCAATACACAAAATATTACATGCAGAAAATTTACATCCGTACAAACCGACTTTATTGCAAGAATTATCCGAAGATGACTACGGTCGACGTGTTGAATTTTGTGAATTTATGATGGAGCGAATCAACAGCAATCCAAATTTTCTCAATAATATGGTTTTCTCTGACGAGGCTACGTTTTGTTTAAATGGTAATGTAAATAAGCAAAATTCTCGATATTGGGCCGCTAAAAATCCCCATTGGATGATTCAAAATCATACTCAAACACCACAGAAATTAAACGTATGGGTGGGAATTTGTGCAGATCACATAATTGGACCTTTCTTTATTCGAGGTACTCTAACTGGTCACCGTTATTTACAATTATTGCAACAGCAAATTATCCCAGCTTGCCAAGAAAATCTTGATGATCTTTGGTTTCAACAAGATGGGGCACCGCCCCACTATCATTTAGATGTACGCCGATATTTAGATACGGTATTTCCGGCCCGTTGGATAGGCAGAAGAGGGTCTGTAGAGTGGCCACCCCGATCTCCGGATCTTACACCTTGCGATTTCTTCTTCTGGGGATATTTAAAATCTAAAGTTTATGTAAACCGACCTCAAAATCTGACAGAATTAGAGCAACGAATAAAAGATGAAGCTGCAGCTATTTCTCCCAGATCGCTAAGAAATTCTTTTCAAGCCTTTTATGATAGATTGGGCCACTGCCTTGCAGTTAAATAATTGATAATTGAATGGTGTCTTATTATGGCAAATAAAATACTAACCAACTTTTGTATAAAATGTATTTTTATAAAGTTGATACTTGCCAAGATATATACAATATTCCATACATAATGGGCACCCTGTATGTATACACGTTCGACATATAGTTTAATTCGACAATTTCACATAATTCGCAATATTTGAATGCAGTAACCATAGTTTACGAAACTATTAAGCGCGTGCACTATCCCACTTAAAATGCAACAAAGCTTAATAGTACAAGCATTGGGTAGTATTGCAAAGGAAAAGTTTTGCTTGGAAAAGGTGACGTTCTTATGATAACTCTGAGTTTCCGTCTCAAAAGACGCACAGCTAAACCCGAATGTTTCTGATTCTAGGTCTAGTAATAGTTCTAGTTTTACACTGTTGTACTGTCACTAGAACTAATATTAGACCTAGAACTAGAAACACTTGGGTTTAGCAGTACGTCTCTTAAGACCGCTAAATCCGAATGATTCTAGTTCTTGGTCTAGCGTTGCACAACAATTAAAACTAGAACTGACACTAGACCTTGAACTAAAAAGTTTTGGGTTTAGCCGTGCATCTTCAGACGCATAACCCGAATGTTTCTAGTTCTAAGTCTGGTGTTATTTCTAGTGTTAGTTGTAGTGTTAGTTGTAGTGTTAGCTTTAGTTCGAGTTCCATGATTGCACTGAAGTTCTGGTCATAACTCTTTTTGGTTGTTACTGTAGCTATTTGCTATCTCGAAACAATAAATCTATAGAATTTTTCTTTTATTCGTTATGATGTTAATAATGTGCAGGTTCAAATTTGCAATAACGAAAGGAAGGTCCATAAGCGGATATTTTTTAATAAAATGGTCATACTGTAATAAATATATTAACGTCGGCGTTCGAATTGCATAACCTATAAATTCAATTTGCGCGTACAGGAATTACATTATTAACCGTTATTTACCGCGCGCTAGTAATAATCTAGCCCAGAGCGTACTGGGTACAAGCGACCACAGTTTTGCATAGTTAATCTATTTTATCGTAATTTTTGCCACCTGTTTTACACGCAACGTTAGCCGGTTTTGGGTTTCACCCGTGTTAGTTTAATCAAATTCGTGTATGCGTATAGAAAATATTGTATATGTACCTATAATAAATTCATCACGATCTTGCTTGATGTCTAATAGATATTTATTTAAACACTAAACATCAACTCTATTAGTTCGGTGACGTATCGGCGAACTATAATTTAACTTCCGCTCAATTACACCGTAATATTAGTTAATATATACATCGAGGTTTCACGTTGTAGGTAGATCAATAGTCGGTTCTTGTTCATTTCTACATGGAGAAATCCAAAAAGTGTTTTAATAGTTTAACTACATAAAAAAGCAATTAAGTTTAAAGAGGTTGGTTTCCGGAACCCGAAGGACATGTTTACGTTCTCTAGTAAAAGTGCAATTGCCTAAATAACTTGCAATGAATCGTATAGAACCCGACGGGCGCCGTCAGTTTTGTTTACGGCTACGTTCGATTTATGGTTTTCTCTTGTTGTACTCTTGTAACGGCCGACCGAATGCACGCTTTCGTCGGACGGCAGTAAAATTTAAGAACGGACGCGAAAATCAAAGAGCTTTAAAGATTTTTCCAAGTTATAACTTTCCAAAGACATTACCGGAGAGGAGGATATAAAGGGAAAATGAGCCAGTAAAAGAGGGTCGATAAGGATTTGATGGTCTATTGACTAGTTTATGAGGTTATTAAAAAAAGTAAAAACACCATTTAAAATGAAATATCTTAAGATTGCGCGAATGATTTATTTCGTGATTTTTGAAAATGTAACTTTAAGAAAACTTAAGTGGATTAAAGTTCTTTTCGCCCTATTCTCCGAGTAGAGTCGAGACAATAAAACGAAACTTTCAATCAACTTAAACGTCCTAGAACAAAGATCCAGAAGTAGGTGCCGACTTGAGATTTCGTCCAAGAATTTGACAGATCGCAAAGTACACTCGACTCCTTTGCGTTGGTTCGAGTTTAATTTCCAACTGCTAATGGATTACGCCGACTACGACGACTGCAATGACTACGACTTACCCAAACGGTTAACTATCGAAGGAAATGTGAATGCAAATAAATCAGGAAGGGTGGTAGAATTTACCGAGCGGTAAGGTGCGAAAGAAATACGCACCAATTCGGATAGTTTACGAGGAACAACTGTAAACCCGCGAAATCCTAACACGTGCCCATTTTGCGGACGTATGCGGCTATATAAATCTGGTCTTTAAGCGAAACCCTATCGCAAAATGGCTGCCTAATGGCCCTAACCTTGTACACAAACCGCTATCTCGAGCTCCGAGCCGGCGGCGTTGAGCGTAAATTTTCCGGACAATTACTGTGTAATTTCAGAAGAACAAATCTACGGTATCCTCCTGCTGCATTATTACTACTGCGTAAACCACACTAATTCACCTTGTCGTTGAGAGTTAAAAAAATCTTTTTGATCTGCAGAATACCAACAACGTTTCAAAAGGTTCTTTGATGATTTTAAAAAGTAAATCCAATTAACTTTTTTGGGAACCAATACTTGGATCAAAATAACCAAAGCTTAAATATGACAACCAACGTTGTATATTACTGTGTATTACTATTATTATATTTGCAGATGTCTGAAGATGCGGAATCAGCTGCAATCAAACTGTTGCAGGAATGTAATCGTATTTACTTATAACGAACATCAAACGCATACAGGAATTAGACTTTAGAAGCTATGTAATATTTAATGTAGGTTTAGCGAACTTAACTCTAAAAAAATGAAGCTTTTTTTTTCACCCATTTAATGTGCCATAAATAATTTCTTATTTGCCTTAAACATGATTGTTGTGATTATTTATCTGCGTGTTTGATTGTTATTGATTTTAAGAATGAAACTTAAAAAATCCTATCTCAAGAACAAATTGAGATATAATGATGAAATAAAAAACATTTGGAAAGGAAATTAATGAAGATTAAATATACTAACAATAACATCTTCTTTCCTATAAATAGCGTTGTTATGTTATTTTATAAAATGGGCACACTAGTACCGCATTATTAAATAGATAATATAATCTAAACGGTATTTTTAATAAGAATCTTCACACAATATACGATTCATATATATAAATTCGTGTAAAACCGACTTTACAAGAACAATTAGAATGATTTTGAATTATGGTTGTAGAGGTTGGAGATCACATAGGAGGGTGGGAAGGTATAGTTTGCGATGAACTTCATAAACCGGGGTGGTTTAATGAAGTACCAATGAAGCTTTGCCACATCCCTTTCACAAGATCTGTGCACGTGTGTGTGCCTCGGAGAAGTGGACTTACGCGATTATGGCGATAATAAGTTTAGGATGTAATAAATTTTCAGTTTACCCCGTTCCACTTTCTCTTCGCCCTTTCCAGTCCGCGTTCTCCACGGAATTTCCCCAAACCCAAACCGGAGAAAAGTGTTTCCACCCCCTACTTAGGGTTAAGTTAAGGAAGATGTACTCGGGGATGAAGGGTTCGCAATGTAAATAAGGGCCTAGTGTTAAGTGCTTTACCGAAAATTATGTTAAAATTTAGTAAGTACTCTTTTCAACTACTTAGGGAAGTATTTTTTTAAATTAAACATTTTAACGAAGACATAATGTTGGTTATCTCTTTGTAACCGATCCGGTTTAATCGTAATTCATATCTCCCCTGGTGGTATATTTCGTTACTAACGCTAAGTGAATTTCATTCCGGTAAGTTTACCCTTTACTAATCCTATTTAGGTCGCTTTGGCCTCTTACACGTTGCTGGATGCGCCCTTTCACCTTTACCAAACTCAACGTAAATACTGAGAATTGATTGATCGGATCTGTCAGAAACTGTTGAGGACGAGATCACGTGGGAAGCGTAAAGAACGTTAACGACGCAAATCAATCGAGTTAAAGTAAATAAAAAATTGTACCTACCCGGGTTTGTTGATCGCACTTGTTTGACACAAAATGTTGTTCGTTCCACCTCTAAATTGAAAAGTCACTTTCAACGTTTACCAGAAATCGTAAATTTCTTTCTTTTCTATTTAATTTGAAGTAAAAATTTTTGTTTTGTTGTTTTTCTTTTTTGTTTGAAATAACGACAGACGGTGTGTCTACGTCGGAGTCTGAAACGAACTGAAAACGACAGCGTGAGGGTGACGTCGCGACGCCTCCCCTCTCTCTCGCTCAACGGGCCATAGGCGGCGCCGCGGAAGAACTAGCGGCGGCACCGACCGACGAGTCGCCCTAAAATCCCTAGCGAAGAGTCCGTGTATACGAATGGAGAAACGGAAAATGTTGTAAATGGTTTAATTAAAACCCTTTTCGAGAAGCGTGTTCTCAATTTAACGGGGAGACTAAATAATAAACGGTGGAAAATTGTAAATGGCGATAAAAAGAAGGTTGAAATTTACATCATCCGGTATAGTTTTATTATATGGTTCATAACTTTTCGGATGTGCAAGATTAGGAATTTTATTATTGGACGATCTGAGAGCAACGTCATGAAATTTTCGATAACTTTTAGTATATATGTAACCTCTACTGATATTAATCATACAAAGTTGCCATTTTCGATAAATTGTTTCAAAAGTTTTCTATATAAAATTATACTAATCATAAAAAGTACAAAGTCTGTGAAATACATGAGTGTCCACACACTTTGTTAGTTGAGGTGTTATCCTCCTGGAAACGACGAAGTATCGCTTCTTCATTAAACTAGAACTAGAACTAATAGTGGATCAAATTGCCCCTCAGTTACAAAAGGGACAGAAAGGTGCATCCAGATGAGTGATGAGCGCTGGGTAAATACCCGGCGGGTAGGTATTTATAAAATGGGTATTTACCCCGGCTTAGGGTAAATACCCAAGCAGTATATATAAAAGTGATACAAGTAAAAATATAACAGATTCGAACAAAAATGTAGAGGAACATGATGAAATGAGCGTTGAAGACGAGGAATTGTCAACGCTCGAAGACGTATTATCAGGTAACCACTGCTCATTCTTGCGACGATGATCCGCCCAGTTCCACTTGAGCTTTGCCACAATGTTGACAGCATCATTTACGCCAGTTCTTCGTAGGTCTTCATTTCGTATGTGGTCGACGTCTCCATCTTTCTTTGCGTTACTTTGAGCCTCCTGGTAATGGCCACCGTTAATGTTAAAGTTGCGGAACCGTATGTCATAATCAAAGGAAGTACGCATTGATTGAAAACCTTTCTTTTCAAATATACAGGAATATCGCTCATGAAGATGTCTCTAAGTTTCCTGTAGGCTGCCCATGCGAGTATCATCCTTCTGTTTAGTTCGCTTGTTTGATTATTATCTCTCGATACACGAACCTCATGGCCAAGATATATGGCTGCGATGCGAACCAACAGAGATGAGTACTTTAAGAACAATAGTGGAAAAGACAAGAAGAGATAGAGTAAGGAACAAAATTGTAAAAGAATTTTGTGGACTCGGAGATCTCATGAGATTTGCTAGGGGAAAAATAAAAAAATTTAATGAATACTTCCAAAGAATGGAAGAAACCTGGCTGATTAAGACAGCAAGAGACCAAAGATTAGCTAAGAGATCCCGGGAGACCAGGAAGTTGGATTTCCAGCTCTAATGAAACACCATGAATGATGCGTAAAAAACAGGTTACAACCTGAATAAAAGAAGAAGAATAATAAGATCTTAAACGAACTACTTAATTTTCAATTGGAAATCAACAATCTCATGGATCTTGGAATCTTGGATTTGATGGAAGTGCAATATGACTAGAAAAGAATCAAACAACAAGAATTAATGAAGCACAAAAACTGAATTTAGTCATTAATATTAGACTGATACTCAATTTAGGACATTCAAAGTTGTTTTTCAAGCATTAAAGAAATCGTTAAATATTTTCGAAGAGTATTACGTAAAGGAGAATGGTCGGTAGTGAAAATATAAACTTTTCCGAAATATATGTACACTTAAAGCTAATAACACCAGGAATGTGTATAAATTTGTTAGACAGTTAAGACAAAGGCACAAATCGCACGTAGCTCTATGCTGAGATGGAACAGGAAAAATAATATGTGATAGTGAAATGAATGACATTTGGAAAAATTATTTCCAAAACCTGTTAAGCATAGAAACTGATTTGGAAATAGACAGCAGTCCGTCACACCAAAGAAAGGATAGTGTCATGGAACCTATATAAATTAGTGAGGTTCAAAACGCAATCACTGCGTCAAAACATGGAAAGGCATCAGGGATTAATGACATACCATCGAAAGTATTCAAGATAGAAGTATTCATTATCACCAATATTGATGTTAGAGCTTGGAACAAGATTTGTCCTAAATTTTGTTGATATTTAGCCCGTCTCAGTTGCATACTTCAGCATCAGTTTCATCTCTCCAAGACTATCAGAAATAAGGACTATATCGTCCGCGTAGCGCAAATTACTTAGGTATTGCCATCAATGTTTATACCTTTTTGGGTCCAATCCAGTTGTTTAAATGCACTCTCCAGTACTGTGATGAACAATTTGGGTTCAACATTATATTGCCTTGTCTTAACCCACACCCAATGAGTATTCGGTCAGTACTTTCATGCAATTTTACCCTAGAACACCACCTCTTCCACATTGGGCAAGCTGAGGATCAAACTTGTCGATTTTGCAACGACGAAACGGCTGAAACATATACTGTGTAATTGCGTCGCCTAAGACACAAAATTTTCGGCAAATCTCTTTTGACACTGGCATAAAGGAACAAGACCTTGGAGCAATACTAAGGTTCATTAACAACTTACATTTGCCCTAAACTTTTGGAGAGCTAAAGTTACAATAGATCTTATAGATCTTTCGTTAACGAGAGGGGCCACTCCTCTTAGTCCGGCAGCAATAATAATAATAATCACTAGAACTAAGACTAGACTAAGAAACTTTCGGATTAAGCCGTACGTCTTTTGAAAAGGTTTTTAACGTTTCGGATGCCATGTTACAACCTTCTTCAGAAACTAAATTACACCAAAGGCTGCTCCAACTCATCTGTTCACTCAACTATGGTCCACATAACGCTAAGATGGTTTTTATTTATTAACAATTCATTAAATTTATGTGATGAAGTTTGTATCTAATTTCGATGTAACTAAAATGTTGAAATTACCGAGGACAATAAATCCAGTCTGCCGCACGGATCTAATTTTGCGTCGGATACAAATATCCGCTTGGACGTTTCGCCCTCGTCTACGTGCAGTACTGTTGGCAACCGTGGTAAATGTGCTACACCATCACATCTACAGGGGGTTTGCCTTGTAATACAGGGCGATTATTTACGTAAAGAGATGGATTAAGTTAATTTCTAGATTATATGGTTGGCGTGCGACGCTGAGATTAAACATACTCTGCTGACATTTTTATATCTTTTTTGTTTTGAGGTAAATTTAAATAACTTAAGTTTATTATTAGATGCCCGGTTATTTGCAACCTAAAAAGTTATGTAATTAACAACTTGCTCGGGAAACACAGTTCGTAGGAAAATTGTTAGTGTAATTCAATAACGTGGGCAAACGCGCACGTACACAAACTTTCCGGCTACAAAATTTCTACCTTTATTTTGTTTTATTTTCCGATTCATTAACAAATTTTAATACTAATTAATTAAATTAAAAGACCAAACCCCATTAGGGAAGAAAAACCAATAAAAGCAGACTCTCCAAAATTTATAATGTCCATAAATTTATCCAGACCGGTTTCATTCGTTCTCTTAATGGCTTTTATGATCTCCTAATAGTCACTTACCCTAAGTAAGTCTCAAGGCAATTCCATAATCAATAACTTATCAAGGTTTCACATCTCGCCCAAATTAACTTCCAAAATTACGTGTTAAAACGGTAATTCCTTATACCTAGAAATTTCTCGGAAGAATCCCTCCAGGGCTAAGTACAGGTATAAAGTACTCAAAGTCCGGGAACATGCATTGTCTGTTTAGTCGTACCTACGAGCACGATGTTAACCGAAGAAACCCTTCGAGCTCTCTTCCAAGGAGTTGTGTTGTTGATAATGTTTGTTAAAGTGTACCGTACGAAAATTAGGCGAAGAAACGAAGAATCATGGAATGGAAAGGATGATTTCATTTGTTGCGTGTGTTTAGAAGAAGCGAAAAATGGGGATGTTTTTTATAAATTACGCTGCGGGCACAAATTTCATACAAATTGTTGTATTATTTGGTTAACATATGTAAGATTTTTTTTATTGTTATATTTTTTATTGTATTTTATTTTATTATATTTACAGAAATCTACGTGCCCAATATGTAGGGCTCACATTGAAACAGTAACCCAGCGGCAGGGTAAAATAATAGATCAAATATGCATAACCCTATTTGTGTTGTTCATAGAACCGCATATTACAAAATACATAATGCATCAAATAAAGTAATGTTTGCAAGGTAAACTATGTTTTGTTTTTGATTTTCATTTATATCCCCCTAAAACAAATTAAACAAAACTAATAACGGTGTGAGTTTCTACGTGGGTGAAATTCACACCAATAATATAATAAAAAAAATTCCATTAAAGTTTTCACGATATACGCCGATTCCACTCCATCCAGATGTATTAAAAAATATACATACATTGGAAATTTATAAAGATCTGAAAATTTGAAAACAATCTTAAGTTGTTTCGGGAATATACACGGAATTAATGTTTAGAAATCGAGAAAAATTTCATTTTATCATTAAATTTTATAATATAATAATAATAAACCTTTATTGGCGACGTCATACAATAGTATTTGCGCAAGTCAGAAAAGCGTATAATACATAACAAACAAAATAATAAAAAATACATGTAACATTACCGCTAGTCAATTAACAACATTAAGAACATCTTAAAACTACATCTACAATAAACGACGGCACAAATCCGGACGAGTAAGGCATGCGAGATAAGGCCTATACTAGGTCATCAAAAGTGCTCAGACAGTACTCATCCACACTGTAGAATGCTCTCGCTGACAAGTAATCTCTGATCTTTGATTTAAAATTATTAATATCAAGTAATTTAATGGGATTAGCCAACAAATTAAAAAATTTAATTCCATAATAATTA